GTCTCCTACTTGTCCAAGTTGGACTAAACCAGTGTTTTCTAAGGTATCATTTCCAAATTGCCTGCTACAATGTTTGCATAATAATTGCATATCTTGTGCCCTTTTGTAGACTCACAATGCTAATGTTCACATTAGAGGCTCTGATGGCCTTATAGGAAACAAGCCTAATCAACATTGTTTATTATAGCATTTAAACAGCTATTTGACAGAACATAGTCTGAGAAATGTGCCACTGTGCACTCTTTATTGAACAGAAATTCCTAGCAGTTCTGAAGAGATTCAGTTTGCTTTTAAATGTGATGCATAGATTACCTAACCATATTCCTGATCCAAATTATTCAAAATTGTACAAGGACTTCATAAAGATCCTGCTATATTACATTGTATTTTTCTCCTTCCCAGTATTCTGGATGCAAATGATAGCATTTAATATAACTATAAAGGCTGTGAGGTAGGGAGAAGAGGTATGTTTTTGCTTTACTGGTTGAGTAAACAAAGGCCAGCTAAAGATGCAAATGTCTACCCCCACCCAGGCCTTAAGATTCCAATCAGAACTGATTCCTCAGCATAGTCATCTTAATATAGCCTATAATAGAGCACTGGGGGGTGACCTTTAAACTTGTAGTCCTAAGATCAAATAACAAAAGTGATTTTGTTCAGTGATCCTCTATTGAGAGATCTGCATCAGGAGCTATGCTAGTAAGTAGGGATACTGCAATGATTAAGATGGGCATCTGCTTTCCAGGAGATGACAGTCCCCTGGGGAAAACAAATAATTAATTAACTGCATAATTATAGCTCAGTTAGGTAAATTATTTGGATTATGGTATGTATGAAGTGCAATGGCAACTTGAACAAAATTCCTTATAAGCTGTGAGTAAATATTTACAGATTCCTTTTTCTGATCCAGTGAGTATAAAAGAAAAGGAATTGTGCTTGTGTTTGTGGCCCATCACCTTTCTGTCTTGGCTATCATAATATTCTTTTTTCTTTTTTTCAAATTTCTTTTTTTATCCATTCTTCTTAGATATACATGATAGCAGAGTAGATTTGAAATATTATACATACATAGAGCATAACTTAATTTAATTGTGGTTGTACATGATGTGGAGTTACACTGGTCATGTAATCATTTGTGATCATAGGAAAGTTATGTCTGATTCATTCCACTGCCTCTCCTATTCCCATCCCTGCTCCCTTCCCTTCATTCCCCTTTGTCTAATCCAATGATCTTCTATTCTTCCCCTCCCTATCTTCCCTTGTTGTGGGTCAGTATCCATATATCAGAGAGAGCATTTAGCCTATGATTTTTCTGAGACTGGTTTGTTTCACTTAGCACGATAGTCTTCAGTTCCATCCATTTTTGCATAATGATCTTGATGAAGATGAAGGGGAGGCACTATGAGACATTATGAGATGTGAGCCATTTTATATAATCCTTTCTGAAAGTTAACCATTCTCCTCTAACTAAGCAGATAACCCACGAATAATTAATGCAAAAAAAAAACTTACACAAATCTTTACTTTTATTATTTATTTATTTTTAATTTTTGGGGTGCTGAGGATCAAACTCAGGGCTGCATGCATGCTAGGCAAGTGCTTTACCACTGAGCTACATCCCCATCCCTTTTTGAATTTTATTCTGAAACAGAGTCTTTCTAAATTGCCCAGGTGAGCCTCAAATTTTCTGATTATCCTGCCTCAGCCTCCTGAATAGCTAGGATTACAGTCATGTGCCACTATGCCCAGCTATGTCACTTTTTAAAAAGATTTTCATCAGTGGTTAGGAGGTCAAATTCCTCAGTAAGACTCAGAAGCACAAGTACTAGGATTCTTTTCTTTTTGTTCCCAGATGTTACCTCCCAAAGGAGCAGAATTTTCCCCATGTGATTTTGGTTCACTAAGTCAGGTTAAAGAAAAAAGAGCACTTAGATCCTGGAATATAATATGCAATTTACAGGTCACAATGTTGTGAAGCAGTGAAGGGAGGGATAGTTTGAGCAGGGCCACCAGCTGGTCAGGAGAGAGGTGAGACAGATCCAGGGCTCCTGAAACCCTGTTCCAGTGCATTCCCTTCTGTTCCTGTCTGGGTATCCTAGGACACTTAGGAATGTTCATAATTTTTATCTAATTAATTTTATACTTTTTCTAAAAATAAACAATTGGGTAGATATTGAGAAAGAATCCCAAACTAATCCCAAACTAATATCACAAGAGGACATTCATACATTTGAAATTTACCATACCCAACAATGGTAAATCTTCAGATGATTTTTATCATCAAAAAAAATGAAAGATCATGAACAGTTAGTACTCTAGTACTAATTTTCAAGCAGTTTCTAAGAATGTGCTGGCATAGGTCCATGATGAGCAACCAGGGAATTCTGGCCAATAAACCAATTTTCTATTATTTGATAAAATAAGTCAAAACAGTGAATCATGTCCCTATCGGTTTTCTCCCAGAAAGAAGTACTTCACATATGCTATGAAGACAGTGAAGTGATTGAGACTAGTATTGAAAGGGAAATCAAAATAAGAGTAGTACTAATTTAAATAGCAACCTTACACTGTGACTAGCACTTGCTAAACACAATCTCAATCCTCACAATGACTCCATAACCAGATGAATCTTCATTAAAGCTAGACAAAGTCTCTAGACTTTAATTTCCTCATCAGTAAAACAAAAATATTTTTATATATTTACTCCCATGTAGGACTCTTGTGAGAACATAAGATAATGACTGTGAACTGCTGAGCAGAGAGCCCAACACATAGTAGTTGCTAAGTAAAAGTAACCCTTAATATGATTGTGCTCCACAGTCTTGTCATCATTTTTTATGGAAAGCCATATTTTAGAATTTTCTTCTACAACTTTTAGAATATAGATAACAAGTACCATGGAGCATGAACTTTCAAAACTCTGAATTAGAGCTATATCAATACTTAAGCTGAGTTTTCTATATTAAGAAGCCATGTCTGAAGCATCCCAAGTGCCTTTGGAGTTTATTAAAAGACTCTTCACAGCCTCAATAAGGGTATGATCAAAGAATATTTAATTTGGGTGTTTCAAAATTAAACTCAATAGCACAGAAGTAGAAAAAAAATTACTGCCAACTCCACATGTGAAGGGAGACCCTGAAAACCAGATGCAAATTAATAGGATGGTTCATATTAATTTCTCCTTGATTTCTAATTAAAAGAAAAATGAAAGAGTACCAAAATTTTGGAAGACAAAGAAAAACCTAATTAAACTTCACAAATTGTTGGCTAATATTCCAGTTATGTATTATTTCAAAATACTGAAAACACAGATTGCACTCTTTTATATACTGTTTTGCATACTAACAATATAAAGTAATTCTGGTGGCACAATAATAATAATAAACTAGCTAAATTTTATTATTTCCCTGTTCTTTAAATATGCATCTCATTCTGATTAAAGCCTTAATAGCAATTGCCAATTACAGCCTTGAATTTCTAGCTCAGATTTCTTTTAGAATCTCAATGAAATAGATGTCTGTACTAGTAGTTTCACAGTCTAACAATTCCCCAAGTACATAGGGGTAAATGGTAGTTCTCTGGAGCACCCCATGGTTTGTTATAACATGTATAAGTGCTGCAAGACACTGAGTCTCAGTACTCCATAGATGCTCCCTTCAAGTCATGTTCAATTGATGCAGAAGAAAGGGCAGGAATTTGCAGCCAACAGACCTTAGTTTGACTATTGACTCAACTATTTACCATCTGGGTGACCTTTAGGTCACTTCAACTCTTATAATCTCAGTTTCTTTACCTACAGAATAGGAACACTAAGTCCAACCTTGCAGGGTTGCTGTGAATATTTATTTTAAATGTTATGCTTCCACTTCTCTGCTTGACACTTGGTGGTGATTTAGTCAGTGACACCTATTTATATTAACAACATCATCTTCATCATCTACCTTCTCTTCATCATCTTCTAACAAACGGAATAAAATTGATTATTCCATGGAACTACCACAAGGACTGAATGTGAAGACACTTTGTCAATAACTAGCAGCACAATGTGGGATTGATTCTTAATAATTAATAGATTGAGCTCTAGAAAATTCTAACCATTAGACTACAGTACAAATAATGGAGTTTACAACCTTTGAGGAAAACCCAAGCGATTCTTCACCTGCAGGACTTGGTAAAGTAACAGTGCTGAGGCCTGCTGGTCCTTGGTTTGCTGAGCACCCATCTACAGCCCTGGGGAGAGGAAGCATGCACTAGTGCTCCACCACTAGCCCCTCTGATTCACTGATAGGCATGTTTTGGACTTCACAGTGTTTTTGCTAGAACAGAGAATGAACACTTATTTATGGTGTAGGGCAAAAAGAAAATGATACAAGGATATACTTTTTTCTCTTAAGCAAAACTGTAATCAAGACCCTATTTTACTTGTAGGAGAATACTTTTTCTCCCCTGACTCCTGATAGTTTTTTCCATGTGATGGGATATCCCTGATCATTTCATCCCAGGGGAGATGCAATGAATTAACTGATTAGAAAGTCAGAAGCGGAAATTAGACATAACCTATTCCTCTATCTTGGGAGTGGCCAAAATCACCCCAGACTTTAGATGTTTAATAATCCTTTTTGTTTGTTTGTTTTATTTCTAGAAACATACACTTTAGATTAGATAGAATTTCTACCTCTATTCCCCAACTACCTCCACACACAAACTACTTTTAATCAACTTTTTATCACAACTCTCCACGTTCTTGGACTTCTCTAAATGCGGATGTTCCTCAAGATTCAATTCCCAGCCTTTTCCTTTCTTCCATTATATTTTGTGTTGGTGATTTCTTCTGATTTCATCACATGTATGTAATAGGGAAGTTTGCCTACATTTTTTTAAAGCCCCAAAATAGCAGAGACTGAAACTAGAAGTCAATTTCTTTCTCATATACAAAAGCATCATGGCTGGCTGTGACGAGCTAGTGTGGCAGTTCAACAAATTTGTCACATACCTCCGGGCTTCTTCCAACACGTTGATCTGTCATTCCATGTCCAATGTGATTGTTGGAATGACAGGTATCCTATATGCTTTGCTAAAATCAGGGAGTTTTGAGAAGAATGTGATCTCTTCCTTTTAAGGAGACTCTCCAGAGGTCCCATATGTTTATGTTTTATGCACCAGATTGAAGTCTCATGGTTATACCTAGATACAAGGAAATATGGGAAATTGGTCTTTTTTTAAAAAAAGGCACATAGCAATGTAGCAGTTGAAATGAGATTGTTTAAATTCAAGAGAGAAAGATGCAAGGCTAAACATGTCTTCTTCATGATCAGATCAATTAATAACTTAAATCTGTCTCTAACTCTGTCCTACTGGTAAGTACAAATTTTCATTTCCAACCACTTGTTCAACTTCTCCTCTAGTACTATATTCAAAACAAAGTTCATTAATTGAATCCCATGCATAAAAGAATGAATAGCTACCATTGACCTCTGCTTTGCCCAGACACACACAAAAAAAAACAGGGTGATTCTGAGAGTAAGGCTCCTATGTTAATCATATTTTCATCACTGGGACAAAATGTCTGAGAAAAAGATCTTAAAGAAGCAAAGATTTATTTTGCTTCATGACTTTAGAGCTTTCAATCTATGTTCAGCTAGCACCATTGCTATATGTTCGTGGGAGGGCAGAGCATCATGGCTAATAGGGCATGATGGAGCTGAGTTGCTCACCTCATGGCAGCCAGGAAGCATAAAGAGAAGCAGAAATGGGCCAAGGGCAAAATATACCCTTTCAGGGCATGCCCTAGTGACATTTCCTCCAACTAGGCTCCACTGCCTACAGTAATAATTTGATGGCATCTCCCAATAATGCCATCAAATTATTAATCCATCAGACTAGTCCATTGATGAAGTCAGGGCCCTCATGATTCAATTCCTTCCCAAAATCCCCACCTCTACACATTACTGCATTGGGGACCAAGCCTTCAACACATGAGCCTTTGGGGAGCATTCCATATCCAAATCACAGCATCTCTCTTAAATGTGCAGAGAACCTAACCAGGGCTTTCTAGTTCCTCCATATACAGGCCTCACTCCCACCATACACCCAGGCAAAATCACAAAAGCTCCAGGAATTTTGGACAAGTATAAATCCCTAAACCCAAAGCTTTCTTTATAGCTTGATACCTTTGTTCATTTTGCTTCCTCACTTCCTAGTGTTTTCATCTCCCTTTGACCAGGTTCTATGCATTCCTCAAGGCTTGCCACAAATACCCCTCTTCCATGAAATCTTGTCTGGTTCCCCACAATTGGAATTAGTGTTCTCCTTCTTCAATTTTGTTTCACATGTTGTTCATCACGCTTTTACGCACCTTTAGATTGTGCTTTGTCCTGTCATTGGTGCACATAGACTATCTGCCACATTAGAATCTCCTAATAGAAAGGGCCAGGTTTTACTCATCAGAATCATACAAAAGCGTTGGTCTTTTGCATGTGGCTCATTCATGTATGCTGAACAAATAATGTTGAAATAAAAGAACTTTAATATATTACCTCTTGAAGGTATGGATGCTATGGATGCGATCCTACTCTCTGAGAAGAAAGATGCCCTGTAGGAGCAGAGGTATAGTAGTGAGTTCAAACACAGGAGACAGACCTGGGTTCAGCTCCTAATTCCTTCACTTACATGCCAAGTGACCTTGGTTGAATGACTTAATGTCTGTGAGCTTCATTTTTGTAATTTGTAAAATGAGGAGAATAACAAAGTGATCTTGTTATTCAGTGCCAACATGTATAAATTGCCTATTCTATTCTAGTGGCTAACAAATGGCAGGTGCCCAATAGCTGTTAATTTTCTTCCTCATTTCCTCCTCCTCTTAAACCTCATGTGCTCAGATAATGAGTGGAATAGGCCATCTCTGTCTGAAAAAAAAATACATAACTTGTATTTTACATCTAAAAAGATTGACAGAAGGCAACAATAATATTTTTTTTAAACTTCTGACAGTTTTTATCAAAACAACATTACTGAAAATTATTTAAAACCATCAACAGGATTAATTAAGTACATGAGACTCTGAAAACAAAGTTGAAAGGAGGAGGAGAAAATAGCAAATAAACATATAATAAGTCCCTACAGGAGACTTTGGACTAAGTAAGGGACTACAACTAGATCCAATTTGGAAAAATCATGATCTGTGTGATTTTACCAATATATTATAAAAACCCACATCTCTGTGGGTTATTAAGTAAATTACTTCACTCAAGTACATATTTCTCTGTCTACTTTATAGATTCCATATCTTTTCCTGCTTGGAGTTAGTAACTCCATCTTCTCTGATTAAATGAAATTGAAAAGGCCTCTTGTGGATATTTTTTCCTGCCAGAATTGATCTCAATCTGTCCCAGGCAATGAGCCTCTTGCTTGCCAAACAGTCTACCTTGATTAACTTCATAGCAGGTTCATTCCCTTAGCATACTCACCCATCTGTAAAACAAACAATCCTCTTCCCTACCACCCCAAATTACCAGTTTATAGAGCATTCCTTTAAAACCCAATACTTACTTTCTTTTTGGAAAATTTGATGGGAGTAAAGCATTCATCTTAACTAATTGTTCTACTACCAGTTGCTATTATGTCAGAAACCTAGTGAAGAGACACCCACAAATAACATAAGAATGTTAGCAGCTTTCATTTACCTATGATTTCTAATTTACCTATGATTTCAAGACCACACGCTGGTCAAATGGGTGGCTATGATGAACAGCCTAGTGGACTAATATTCCTTTGCATGTTTTATCAAACATCCCTGATAAAATCAGAAGTAATGGGAAATTCCTAAAGACAGGTAAAATTCCAACTCATAGAGTTTTCTCCCAAAGCCTGTATTTCAGGATGTTTTTCCTTTGCTCTGTGGTCAACCCCTGGTATCACTGAAAGTAGCTTGTGATCTTGCAGAGCAGAAATCTGGTCAGCCCAATGATTGCGACATCCATCATTCAGAGTAGTCAGGCCTTGGTTTCCTTTACAGATTATACATGCTTCTACTGTTGCATTCAACAAATTCTAAATATAATTGATTTGTCTGCAATAATGTCTTACCTACTACACTCATCTGTTGTGTGAAGGTAGAAGTAACACCTTGGTCATCTTTTACCTTCAGCACTGAACACACTATTTTGGATATTTAAGAAAACCTTCTTGACTCAGCAATAAAAGAGAGAAAAAAAAAAAAAAAAAAACCCTCTTGGAACCCAGGTTACAATAGGGAGCAGAGAGAGAAAAAATAAAGGATGCAGGCCAGTTCCAAGGCGGGGGGGGGGGGGGGTCCTCAGACAATTTTTGTAATCACGGAAGTTGGGACCATGGAATGGAAAAGGGAGTTGTAGCTTTTGCTAGATCAAAGGGCCGTTAGTTGGGCTTCATTTCAGCAGTCTGAATACTTCTCACCTCTGTTTCATTCCAATATCTTCCCTGAACTCACCAAGCTTGTCTTTCATTGGATGTTGACTTTTCTAGGCATCACTAGCATAGTTGAGTTCCTCTTATACTTTCCTGTCCATTTTGCATACTTTTATCAGAGCTGATTGGCCAATATCAGATTGGTTTTCTCATTTGCTTCTTTATCAAAGCCAAGTTTTTGCTAACAAGACAAACTATACAAAATAGATATCTGTCATTCCTTCTCTTCTCAAAAGAAATGTTTCTCCACTTGTCAAGTTGCTCTTGGTTCATCCACATACTTTACCACAAACGCTGTTGATTTCTTCCTGACAGTTTTCTGTTGTTCCCTCTCTAAATAGGTTGAATTTCTAACAAGAAGATTTTTCTTCTTCTGAGTAACTATCCTCTGCTTGTCCACATAAATGACCTCTAAACATGCAATAAATAGCTGTTGAATTGAATTCTGTCAAGTGACTGTGGTTACTCCTTGAGAGGACTAATCACAATTCCATCCTGCAGAGTTCCTGTAATTAGATTTGGAACACCCTGGTGTTTCTCTAGTTATCGCAAAGAGAACTTGTTGAATTTCCATCAAGCATTCAATTTAATTTGAACTATGTGACTTTACCAATATATTATAAAAACCCACATCTCTGTGGGTTAGACTTCACCCTATGTGCATGGAAAATGTCCCAGCTTGAAGCATTACTACCAAAATTAAAATAAGAATAAAATACTAATATTTACATAAACTTCAATTTTAAAGCAAATGGATATCTATGAGATTGGAAATGGGTGTGGAGATGACATGTCATCAAAAAAAGAAGAGAAGCATTTCTGCATTTAAAGTGTTTGGGAATAAATGTACTAGATTGAAGATTTCCATGCTCTTGTTTAAAGAGAACTAGAGTTCTTTATAGGGGTCTTTGGGCTGCTGAGCAATGGGAGTGGAAAATAAGCCAGAAATTCTGTTTTCCCTGTATTCAATCAGAGATGTTGTTGTTATGTTTCTAGAAGCATTATTTTGAAGAAAAGTGATAATAACACTTAGAAAGCATTGCACATGGATTATGATGAAGAGACAGACTGACAAGCAGATAGACACAGGCCAAAGTAAGTATAAGGAACCTCTGTTTCTCCTACTGCTACTACGCTGATCAGACCACTATCATTTGGATTACCACCTTAGCCCACTTTCTTGGATCTCAGCACCCTGTCTTGCAGTGTACTGCTGCCCAATCCGTTCTCTACTCTAAAGCCAGAAAGAGCTGATTTCAGTGCAGATTTATCCCACTACCCTGCTTAAAATCCTTCAGTAGCTTCCCATTGCCCTTAGAGAATATGTCCGTGAGAGCTGTAAACCTTGTGTGAGCTAGCTTTTCCTTCCCTCTGGTCTCATCTTGGGTTGTCCAGGACATTGGTCTTTCTTGGGGTTTACTGCTTGCCATTTCCCATTTCAGAGCCTCTGCATGTGCTGCTCCTCTGCCCATTTTGCTTGTCCTGGAGTTCCTAGCTTGGGCAGCATCCACTCCTGGAGGCTTTTGCAATTTGGTCCTCTCAAAATAGGTTTTGTTTCTTTCCACTATTTATTCCCCTGAATTATTAGCCACTTGCTTTTTATGATGTATCATTCTAGTAATTATTTCTTCTGCATCTCTCTTCCCTCTATATTCCAAAATGACTTCGTTTTTTGTTATTTATCCCTTTATCTCCAATACTAACATAACATTTAGCACATAGTGGGCATTTATTGAATATGAATAAAAGCACAATTGCAGGGTTTCAGGCATCTAAAAATTACACAACCTTGGCTGCCTTCAGAACAGGACCATCTGATCACTTGACTGAGCAGAAAGAGAGAAACATGAGAGCAGGCAAGGTCTGTTGCCAGTAAGTCCAGCCCATACAGGACTGCTCTGAGATCCCCTAGCTTTTACTACCAATAGAACCACTGGCCCTAGATCTGGCACGTACTTATGGCACAGTTGTCCATACCTGTCCATATTATTATTGAAGTTTACCATGGATCTATCATGCCCCCTATTGTATGAATTTTACATGTGTTGCTTCAGTTGATTCCAATAATGTCTATCAGGAAGGATTAGTCTTTTGTATAATAGGAAACAGACTTTAAGGCCCTTGCCTACAGCTACAGAGTAAGTAAATGTCAGAACTAGGAAATGCTCCCAGGTCTGGCTGACATTTTCTATTATCCTATGGCCTAGTATATAGTAGATGTTCTATAAATTAATGAATGAATGATTGGTTGACTTACCCTAGGTACATGAAAAATGTCCCAGCTTGAAGCATTACTACCAAAATTAAAATAAGAATAAAATACTAATATTTACATAAACTACAAATACCAAAAGAATAAACATAATATTCTAGATATCTTTAGTCCCCCCCCCCTCTAAATTTCTGAACTATTGTCAAAAGTTAGGGACATTTTCTACAAATGTTTTCATTTAATTAAAGTTGCTGAATTGAACTCACACTGAGCAAAAATCAGGCTGCAGCACACTATTTGGTCCTTCAGCACTTTCTGGAAAGTCACCAAGGAAAAAAAGCACTGCAAGGGTTTGAAGGGAAAAAAACACGCATATGCATATAAGAGAAGATAACAACAAGGTGATGCTATGTGACCCATCACATATAACACAGAAGCAACAGCAAATGCACACACACATATATAGGACTCACTTTGTGCTAGGTATTAATCTGAGGGCTTCTTACCCAAACTCATTAATCCTCACAGCCTATGAAATGTTCATTGAATGTAGTTGTCTCTGACCATAACACACACCCTATGTGTCACCAAGAAAGCTAGAATACTGTTGATTAAATTACAAGATGGTATTGGTGGTTAAAAAAAATCCTGATTTTAGATATAAAAAGATAAAAATGTGCATTTCTAAATTGTTGGGGTTTTTTTTTGTAGTTGTAGATGAACAGCATTTATTTTATTTGTTTATCTTTATGTGGCACTGAGGATCAAACCCAGAGTCTCACATGTACAAAGCAAGTGCTCTGCCTCTTAGTTACAGCCCCGGCCCAAAACTGTGCCTTTTTAATTGGATAAAATATAGCATTTTAAATCCTGCTTTAGGGGCTGGGGAAATAGCTTAGTTGGTAGAGTGCTTACCTTGCATACACAAGGGTTTG